CCTCTAAAAGATGCAATTTTCATGATATAAAAGTTTTGGAGTGTAGTTAAACAAGTGGGCATTTTCGACAAAGTGTTACTAGGGTACTTTTAAAATTTTTTTGTTTATGGTGGACCACACTTAATTCATGTTGCCTCATTCTTTTGTGTACATATTGTGCGGTTTGTCCAATGTATTGGAAAGAACAGTCATTACAAGAAACAGAATATATATATATATATATATATATATATATATATATATATATATATATATATATATATATATATATATATAATATATATACTTTTGCCTCGGGATGTGTAGCGATAACATAGCCCCTGGTCTGTGCAAAAATACTTAAAAAATTTTTCCACAGTTTTGCAAAACAAAACTCATTATTTTTCTCACTAAAAAATTCATGATTATCAACTGGTTAGTTGTATCAATGTTAGTGCAAAATTATGTGATGTGTGCACATTTTTAGATATAAAATACCATGTTCAATATCCACTGATGATGACATTAAATTGAATGTCGAAACGTTTGGGATTAAAGATTATTATTTTATAAATCTTTGCCTTTTCTTTGTTTGATGTATATATATAATAGAATTTTGTGATATGAGTGGAACCCACTCCATTTGTTTACATTATAATAATACCCATCCTCTGACTCTTCATCTCAATAAATAAGATTTGTTTAAAATATTTCTGTATCGATTCACATGTTTTAGTAATGTGTCAAACTCTGTGTATTTTCAAAAATTGAATATATAATATAATAAAGAAAGTGTAGTATATAAGTAACTGTTTTTTAAAATTACACTGAAGATGAGGCATACCATGGTCTCGAAACGTCTTTAATTACCAAATAAAGTGTGTGTTAAAAATCTGAGTGTTGTATTGTTAGTATTTAACATTTAATATATATATATATATATATATATATATATATATATACATATATATATATAATATACATTGACCTAATATGTTGAAGACCTGTATGACTATGTGCACCAGGACAAATTCGTTTATTAAGACTCTTTTTTTAATCGTAATATCTACATTTTCTCCAAGTGTTATACAATACCCAAACGTTGAATAGTTTATTTCGTGTCCTCTTTTCCTCTTTACCTGTTTGAGGTTATAAACAGCGTTGTGTCGATTCAATTTCAATTTATTCTCGACCTGCGTCGTCTGGCTCCTAACAGTGACCGAATATGCCCCATTGCACAATTTACGATAGAGATTTCTCAAACAAATCGACATCGTTACACAATTAACCTATTAAAATACGATTCACTGTTACAATTATCACCAAGATCGAGCACTGTTTTTTGCGGAAATATCAAATGTCAAATGAACGAATGAGGTTATGCTTATGATGGCGGCCGGAGAGATTTGACAGCTCTCGGCTGATGGTCGTGTTAGGGGTCCGGCACACGCGGGGATAAAGGAGCGGTGTGTGTGCGACACTCTAACGGTTCGAGTCTCGGCTAAAATTGATATATTTGATACTAGCTGTAAGTGGAATTCTGTCTTAAGGCAATTAGGGCATCGTGCCTTTAGGCGCATGGCATCGTGCCTTAAGGCAAACTTCCTGTATCAAAAATTATTATTTTTTCAAAAACGAATAACATTTTTGAAAAAAAAAATACTTCGAAAAAATTAGATTTCTGAGAAACTATAAATTTGGCAAAAAATTACTTTTTAAAAAAAAATGTTTTCTTTGTTTTGACATATTTTGGAAGATCTGAACTTTTTTTCAAAGCAATCGTACTGCTTTAACTGCATAGAGACAATATATAAAGCGCGTAAAGCGATAAACATTGGTACGGAACCCATAGGAATGTAAACAAAATTTATACTTACTGTTAAAATCTCTATAAAATATCTGATAATTTGATGTACATATGTCCAATGAACATTTTTGACGGGCAAATGGCATTTTTTTTTAACTTATTTTTATTGAGAGTCCATAACCGCTAGACCTGACTTCCCAAAAATTTAATCAGTTCTTCATCTTGTCAATACAAGTAAAATGTTTTTTGAATTATTCAAATCGGACGATCCGTTCTCTTAAGAGTTACTGTTTTGGCACTTTTTGCCCCGTATCTTCGGAACGGCTAGGCCTGCCTTCGCCAAAAACCAATCAGCACGTCTCCTTATCAATACGAATCGAATGTTTTTTGAACTATTCAAATCGGTTGATCGGTGTTCCCTAAATCGTCGACGAAAATTTGTCTTCACGCATACACACACACACATCCATTTTGTCTGAAATATGCCAAAATGTTCAGAAACCTCTGAAACGTGAGAACTTACTTTTTTAAATCCTTTGGGTAACAAAAAGTGTTATTATTTAATTTTATGATTATTTTATTATTTTAATTTTTATTATATAGTTTATCGGTTTATCAATGTTGTTTTACATATTTAATTCAATATCATTTTCAAATTGAGTAAAATGTGTTTAAAAAAAACTGTGGATAGTCCATGGTTTTAATTTGATATTTCAAACTGAATGTTATCTGAAAACTAGAAAAACTAGGAAAACTAGAAATGCTATCTCAAAATAAATTAAGATGTAAGTAAAATACTTTGAATGCAGTCTTATTCTATTTACTGCTTTTTAAATCTGTTGGCCTTCAGTAGAGTCCTTTTTCCATTTTCTGTCTTTTATTCAAGTTTACTCGTCAGTAGAGTTCATTTACCATTTACGGTTTCTTTATTTTAGTTTGCTTCTCAGTAGAGTCTTTTTTCTATTTACTGTTTGTTTATTTTAGTTTGTTCGTCAGTAGAGTCTCTTTTCCCTATTTACTTTTTTTATATCAATTTGCTCGTCAGTAGAGTCCTTTTTCTGTTTACTGCCTTTTTATTCAAGTTTGCTCGTCAATGGAGTCCCTTTACCATTTACTGTTTCTTTATTTTAGTTTGCTCGTCAGTAGAGTCCTTTTTCTTTTTACTATTTTTTAAACTTCCCGTAGGGTAGTTATTGTAATTGTCCAAAAATCGAAAATGAAACTTTTTGCATATCTTCACGTTTCAGAGGTTTCTGAACATTTTGGTATACCTCAGAAAAACTGGGTTTGTGTGTGTGTATGTATGTATGGGTACAGTTTTTTGTCGATAATTTCGGGCATACGAATCAACCGATTTAGGGAGATATACTGATTAGTTTTTGGCAAAGGCAGGTCCAGCCGTTACGGAGATACGAAGCAAAGAGTGCAGAAAATAGAAATCGAGTTTTTGAGGGAATGGAGCATCCGATTTGAATGATTCAAAAAAACATTCAATTTGTAATGATTGGGAAAAGAGGTGATTAGTTTTTCGTAAAGACAGTTCCCGCCATTTCGAAGATACAGAGCTAAATGTGCAAAAAATGGCAGTTTCTGAAAGAAATAAGCATCCGATTTGAATTGTTCAAAACACTTTCAAAAACTTTATCGTTTCTGGGAAAAAATATTTAATTGTCAATTTTTTTTAATATCGAAAATATCGAAAATAATTCAGATTTTCAAAATTTTAATTCGGTACGGGGAGTTCCAGAAATTTGCCTCAAGGCACGATGCCATGATGGCATGCCATCCACCATTAGTTTTATTTTAGTTTGCTCGTCAGTAGAGTCCTTGATTTTAACATATCATTTTCAAATTGAGTAAAATGTGTTTTCAACCCAAAAATAAGGGTTGAAATTTTAAAAATTCCATTTTGACCCATTTAAAGGGACAATAAAATTCACTTCAGATGTATGGTTTCTTCAGCAAAGTATCTTATTTTGAGCCCTAGAATCCGAAAATCATATGTGCCTAAGTGACCTTTAAATCGACACGCCCTAATATATATATATAATATATATATATATACATTATAAATTAAGTTGTCATTTTGATATGATTTTATTTGTCGTAATTGAATCGTTTATATAATCAAATCAAACCGCCGAATCATATATTATTCAACAAAGAAGCCATTACCCAAAAAATTGATTGACATTTTGTAATTTTCATTAAAGTACCGGAATAACATTTCTATATTAAAATACAAATATAATATAAAATATTATAATAACTAAATATATATATATATATATATATATAAATATATATATATATATATATATATATATATAATTATTGTTAATTTAGCATATTCTTTAATTCCATTATTGAATTTTTTAATTACTCAAACTGCATTTGTTATTCTAAAAAGATTTAATTGCACACAAAGTGCACCAAGTCTGTTATTATTAGTTTTCGATAATTATTCATAATTCCTTTGATGAATATAAAGTAATTAATCGAGATATCAAATCATAGGATATTGATCATCACCAGAACCTTATTGTTAGTAAAATATATACTTAAATAATAAATAAATAAATATATATATATATATATATATATATATGTTGAAAGTGTTTAAATTTGATGTTGAAATGTATGATTAATTTCTTGGAGGGCGTAACATCAAGTAAAAAATATAAAGATTTTTTAAAACATCTTTATTTTTCCATACGTTTCGACGTAAAATTCTACGTCATCGTCAGTGGTTCTACAATTTTGAGAAAAAAAACAGAAAGTAACGTTAGAAACTAAATATACATAGAGCAAGAATAAAAAGAAAGAGATTTAACTAAAGAGACAGACTAATTATATCTAAACCTTAAATTAAAATAATGCATAAAACATTACTTACTTGAAATTCATAGATTATCACTTACACATATTAATAACAGCTTGTAAAAAATTAATAATGGGAAACAAGCACTAAATGTCAGTAATTCCTTTTTTATAAAGAACAAAAAATAATAAATAGAATATTATACGAAGCACTCGTGTATCCGAGGCATGCCGACCTTGCCTGCAAAACGAGAGTTCGACCCTGCTTATTTCATATTAAACGGATATATATATATATATATATATATATATATATATATTCAAATAACTCAAAATCAAATCATTCTCTCCGTTTGCTACAATGAGCTTCAAAGGGGCAAAAGCAGACAAAGACAGTAAATAAAATTTTAAATTTACTAATTATAATTTTATTAATAATTTAAATTTCTGATTAATAATTTGTTATTTTTAATTTGTTTTTTTTTTAAATAATTTTTACGTTTTTCTAGAATCGCTTCAAGAAGATGAAGATACGCAACGTGATGTGAACAATTTTCGAAAATGGCTAAACATTCCTTTTTTTCAACTGCACGCTCTGGGTTGCGATTTGTACAGCGAAAATGGTATAAATAATTAATTTTAATTTAATTGTAATTGATTTATATATATATATATATATATATACTAGCTGATCCTGCAAACTTTATCATAAAAATTATTTATAAAAACTTTCGTAGAACCGTAAAACTGTAGTGTTCTTTCGCACAAAGATCGAAAATGAAAATGTTTATATATATTTTCGTTTCAAAGGTTTCTGAACATTTTAGCATACCTTAGAAAAAATTGATGTGTGCGTGTGTGTGTGTGCCCAGATACAAATTTGAAAACTGAAAATTTAGGGTTCTTTTTAGTTTTCAATTCCGCATTATAAAAAAATTAATTTAATTAATTTAAGTTTAAAGAGTAGACAATTATTATTATTATTTTTTCTTGAAGTAAACTTACCGGAATTTATTGCTCCCAATAATTAAATAAATGATTAATCGAATTTATAATAAGTTAACTTTTCCTTACAATTATATAAAATTTGTTTATTGTCATTTTTTATTATTTTTTTTATTAAAACTGACAATAGACATCCAAGATATAAGGGTCTCTACTAATTAGCAAACGGACCAGAAAAAAAATTCTGATGAAAATATTCTACTGATTAAGAAATACAAAAATATTTTAAGTAAAAATAATTTAAATAGACAAAAAAGGTCTGTATTGACGAGCAACTGAACAGAAAGAAATTTAAAATAAATAAAAGGACTCTACTGACGAGCAAACTATTTAAAAAAAGTACCAAAATAGATAAAGGGACTCTACTGACGAACAAACTGATTAGAAAGAAATTCAAAATAGATAAAAAGACTCTACTGACAAGCAAACTATTTAGGAAAAAAATGAAAATAGATAAAGGGACTCTACTGACAAGCAAACTGTTTTGAAAAAAAAAACTTAATATAGATAAAAAAACTCTACTGACAAACAAACTATTTAGAAAAAAATTCAAAATAGATAAAGGGACTCTACTGACGAGCAAACTGATTAGAAAAAAACTTAAAATGGATAGAAGGACAAGCAGACAAACTAGATAGAAATGTAATTTAGTCATTTCATCATTACAAAATACAAATAAAATATTTTTTGAATCATTTTAATCGCACGCTTCGTTACCTCAAAAAGTTGAAATATTATT